GACACAAGAGGAGGACTCACCTAAAGAGATCAGATTTCTGTAGTTCTCCACCATGACCTCCCACTGCAAGGCTCTCTGGCTTGCGTCCAATAAAGCCCATTCTTCCTCTGTGAAATATACAGCCACTTCCTCAAAAGACAGCGGACCCTGAAGAGAGAGAACGAGAGAACGAAAGAAAGAAAGAAAGAAAGAAAGAAAGAAAGAAAGAAAGAAAGAAAGAAAGAAGTTTCCCTGGAGAGTTAATTTCCTTCTGGCACTGATGTCCAAAACATAACAATAGGGCAGCTTTAACAGAAGCAAAGGACGGGGTCAGATCCATGCAGGCCCAGGAAAATGTGCACTGGCTGACCCAACCCAGTCCCAAACCCTTTCTTCTTCTTACCAGAGCTGGCTGGGCTGAAGCAGATGCCTCTTTAGCGACAAGAGCAGATGAATTTGGAGGCATCACCAGGGACTTCCCATTGCCTGTTAAGGGACAAAAACACGGTGGGATGTTGTTGCTTCATTTGCACATGAAAAGGCCAGTCAGGACAAGACCCGGTTGGGAGAGGCCACAAAGCCATTGTTTCTTTTATTCATACAGCTCAGAGATGTTCTGACAAACCATGGTTTGTTTTCACCACTATTGGTTTCTTCTCCCACTGTCCTCAGAAAAGAACTGACTGCGACCCCAAAATCCCAAGACAGCAATGACAGAAATTAATGTTCTTTTTCTTAACTCTCCTGTGACCCTTTTGTTGTATTGTGACTTTTATACACTGCAATCTCTGGAGATGCTAAGCAAGTCTTAAGGGTCTCTTGAGCTCATGAGTCTCTCAGTCCTAATCCTCCTGTTCAGCTGTTTCTAGCTCTATTTATAATGTTTTTTTCACTGAAGCTGTAGTGTTAATAGTCTCAGGGTTCAAAGGCATTCACCTCTGCTGGCTGTGTTCAATTTATCTTTTATTCCATTTTGTGTTATTTACCTTTTTTAAATTTTATTTCCATGTTTTAAGGCATGCAAAGCTGGTCAGTGATTGAAATAGTACCCTGAATCTCTCACCCCTCCACACAAAATACATCAAATTTACTTGCAAGTAATTTGCAAATATGATGTATCTGGACTGAAGAGATATTTTCAATTTTACCGCCTGACTCAGCTCACTAGTTAAATCTCCCGGAAGAACTTACAGCTTCCAGACACCTTTTTCCCATTTAGTTCTAACCTTCTATTGATGAGCAAGCAGAATAGGTGTTTTTTTGTTTTTTTTTTAACAATTAATTGTAAAACTTGCTAAGAAGAAATGTCTTTTATTGTGTAGCTGTGATTAGCAGGGGCTTCTGCAAAGGGAGGTATCGAAAAACTCAAGGTGTCTACAACCACTGTGTTTTTTATATTGCATACATAAAAAGGGGCAGGGTTTGATTGTATGGTTGTGGCCACCATGCTATCTTGACTTTTTTCTGACTCCCTCCCCTTGCAGACATCCTTGATCATTATTTATGAGTTAAAAATGCTCTGGATCTCTTTAAACTTTTTACCAAACAACATCTTCTGAAATTCACCAGGCCTATCCCAGCCTGATAATCCAGAAGGATCTCCCTGCCCAGAGAGATGAAGATCATGACAGCATATACCACTCTTGATTCTTACCCTGCAAGACAGCATCTTCACCCTCCAAGATCTGCCTGAAGAATGGTCTCCGTCTGACATCGGATGGAGCCTCCTCCTCCTCAACTTTGGGGAAATCGTTAGAAGCATCCACAAACAGACCCTGCAAAGCAGTATCAAATATCCATACAAGGTGGGAACAGAAGGAGCAGAGAAAGAGAGGAGACGAAGACTTCTCTTTCAAGGATGTCCCCCCACAACTGTGCAGCTGGGAGTGATTTGGGGTCATCACTGAGTGATGAGGGTATTCTCATCCCCTTGGAACTACCAGGAAGAAAAGTTATTACTGAAGGGTAGACTGTATTCTTCCCCAGCTTAGCTCTTTGGCAGCAGCATCCGGAAGCTCTGATCAGATCCCAACGGAAGGTGGTGACCCAGAGCAATGCCACTACCCTCTTTGCAGCACGATCATCTCAGGACCTCCTCCCATATAATGCTGCTGGCTGAGACCACAAGATCCTCCAAGAGCCATACACCTTAAATGTAACATGGAGCCTTCCTGAGTTGGAATGCGAATCAACCACTTCATGGTCCTTGAAGGTATCACCAACCTGTCCTCACCTGGACTTTCTGCTTCTTGTCCTCTGCTTGGCTCAAGAGGAAGCCCTCGGCCAGGGCCACCGCCTGGGAACAGGTCTCCGCTCCACATTCTCTGACCCAGTTCTTCATCTCTGGAGGGAGGATAGTCAAGAACTGCTCCAGGATCACCAGGTCCAGCATCTCAGCTTTCGTATGCTGTCCTGGTTTCAGCCACTGGCAACAAAGATCATGAAGTCGGCTGCAAACTTCTCGGGGCCCAACCGCCTTCCGGTAGCGGAACTGCCTAAAGCGTTGGCGATGGATGCTGGAGCTGCCTTTCTCTTCACCCAGGATCCTTTTTACAATTTTTTCCCAGTATTCACCAGGGCTGCCAGCCTCAACAGCCTCAAGGCCCCCCACTGAATCCACGGCTTCCTCCTTCGATCCGTGCGTCAGCACTGTCTCCAAAAGGATTCGAAGCATCTCCTGTTGTGGTCACTTTCTTCCGACAAGGTCTGAATGGCCAAAATTGAACTGAGAGCAGGTCAGAAAAGATGCCAAGACTTTTGGGGGTGTGGGGTGGCACCACTCACGAAGCCAAACGTTAAATTACCAGGCAGCCACGAATGATGTTAATCTCTCTCTGTAAGCAAAGGCAATGGAGAACGAGATAGAAATCAGAGGCAGAATATATGGCAGGCAGTTCTCTCTTACGGAAGCACAAGTCAAATGCTTTGATAATGTAATGAATGATTATTACAAGTCACAGACCACCCCCCCAAATAAAAATAACATAACTTACAGGAAAATGGGAGAAGAACAACACCACACTCTAAGACTCTTCACAATATAAGCAATTACTTTGCCATTATCAAGGCACATGCTCTACAGGTTTCAAATGCAAACTTAGTGACTGCTTTTTAGGACCTTGGTCTGCTAGGAGGAGTTTTATATAAAATTCATCTACTGATCATATGCGCACATGAAGACCAGCTGCTGTAGTTTAAGTGTGGGACTAGGACTGGAAACTTCCAGGTTCAAGTCCCCATTTGACCATGGATCTCTTTGGCTGACTTTGGGTCACTCTCACTCTCTCTCTGACCTACCTCATTGGGTTGTCAGGTGGATAAAATTAGGGGAGGACTCCCAAATAAGCCACTTTGAGCTCTCAGAGGTAAGGTGGGGTAGAAGTGCCATAACTAAGCAAGTAAAATATACAAGCCTCCATCTATGGCAGTGTTGTCCAAACTTGGCCACTTTAAGATGAGTGGACTTCAACTCCCAGAATCCCCAGCATGGCTGGCTGGGGAATTATGGAAGTTGAAGTCCATTCATCTTAAAGTGGCCAGGTTTGGACAACACTGCCATAGATGGCAACCTCTGCTTCTTTAATCTCCCCCTCAGTACTGGCGTTTGCTTCTCCTGCAACACCCCAGTTTCCACCAAGGCCTCCGTTTCTCCTTCTCATCTCTGCCATCTTTGGGCTGTTCCACGATCACAAACGCATTCTCATTTGAAACGCTGCATTGTAAATAAACCCAAAGCAAAGGCAGATTCCTAAGAGAAACGTCCTGAAACCTTCTGGCGCAGCCTAAGGAACGACACAGGTGGGAATCTCCGGGGAATCCTGGCCAGATCAGCGGCATACTGTACCATCTACCGCCCTCTCTTGAAGCCGGGGTGAAAGAGGAGCAGGAAAGATCTTCTCTTCCTTTCCTCCGGACTCCTGACTGCCGCTTCCTTCGTTTTGGGGGATTCAAAACAGAGACGTTTGGAGGGCCTTGCACCTGGCAGATTATCTTGGACCGTACCAGGATTCGCGGGGGCTCCTGTCCCCCAGCCTAGCGGCTGGCTTGCACCTCTCGCCTCGCCTCTGCCCTGAGCCTCCCCCCAGATCTGGCACGTCCCAGCTTCTCCCCTCGCCCACCTACCGCCTGGCGAGGAGCCCCAAAGACGCAGAAGCCGCCCGGGAGGCGCGCGCGCCACTGCAGCACGTGCCAAAAGCAGAGGTTCTTTTTCCTCCTGCAAAAGGGGCGGGGGCGAGGGGGCAGGATGTGGCGGAGCCCATTCGCCTTCCCTCCGCATCAGGGGCCTCTCTAGGAAGCGAGACTCACTCGCGTTAACCCTTGGCATGGCGCTCCCCAGCGAGGAGGGCTTGGGCCCCGGGGGCGCGTAATCTTTGACGCCTCCTCCAAATGGGGAGATGTGCCTCGAACTGCAGTTTCCATCATCCTGTGCCTCAGTAGCCCCTGTCACCTGCCTCTGGGGAAGAGAGGGAGACCTTGCAGGACAGCGTCGCGTTCTGCTTCGTTGCAAGAGCGGCCGGCAGCGAAACCCCGCCGAGGAAGCGAGCGCGAAGGGTTAAGCGGGGCTCGGAACGAGGAGCGCTGGGCGTAGCCACCAGGTGGGACAGGCGCAGCCCGTGCTGGGCTTTTGGGTGCGCGTCGATCTATTTATAATTAATGATTCATTATAACTAATCATTCATTTTTATTTTTAAAAGGTTTTTTGCCAAGTAAACATACAAAAGGAAAGAAAAAAGAAAGTAAAGTAAAAAGAAGCGATACGCAAATGGAAAAGAAATGAAAGAAAAAAGATAGCAAAAGAAAGATTTTAAAAAATTTAAAAAATTAAATTAAAAATAAAAAAAAGATTAAAAGGAAGAAGGGGGCTTCCGATCTTCTTTACGGCAGTTTATAAACGCATTTATATTTTATCCTCTCTTTCTAAGGCTGCATCATGGCTCCCTTCTTCCCATATTCCACCCCTTCTAATCATCAGATCCATAAATCACAAGCTCATTTTTTCCCCTGAAGGGCATTATTTTGATACACAATTTTATACTCTCTATATATACAATTTTATACAATACAATATATATATGCTTCACATAATGTATAACCATACCTGTAACAGTGCACTCTATTTT